ATTGATATTTGTGATTCAAAGTGAGGGAACCAGCGCGTTTAGTGGTATTGCCATCACTCTAATTGGGGGGGGGGGGGGGGGTCGGTAGTAACCAGTCTTACACATCTCTCCAGTATTACACATCACTTCAGTCATATTGCTTATAACTGTATCACTTGCATTAAAAATAAACATGCCGATTTTACCAGTCATGTTTTTTTTTCTTCTTCTCATGAAGCGGCTGTGTTTTATTTTCCTGCCAGGTGGTGGTGAAGACAAAGGCAGATTATGATGGTGAGAGCAAAAAGGGAAAGCTACGATCTCCCAAAATCGCAGAGTTCTCAATAAGCATCATTGAAGGCGTTTCTGAGCGACTCAAGGTAAGAATAACGGAGCTGCTACAATCTGTGTTTCATGCATCATCCATTTCCCAGTATACTCCCACACATGCACTTCCCTGAGAGCAGACATGTGTCTGCCTGCTGCTCAGGACATTTTTCATCCCCCCTCCAATCATAATATTTCCTCCCCAGCATAGCTCATACCTTTTGGCTCCTTCATTCAGCCCTCTTTCGCCTCCCTGTCCTCCCTTGTTGCCTGTAATCTTGGCCGGCTATACAGAGAGACATAATGCTCACAGATTCACTTAACCCCGCCCTGAGACTCTCATTAATTCAGCTGCTGCCATGGTGATGGCCTCCAAATGGCAGCATCTCTCCCACCTTTTAATGCTCCTTTGATTAGGTGATAGATTTTTCTGTGCACACCTATAGAATGATTGAAACACGTGTTTTGCTTTTATAAGAAACGAATGTGTAAAAGATGCCCTTTCTCCCTATAAATCCATCTCCGCATGTCCTGTGCCCACACTGAGCGATCCTCCCTCTACATTCATAATCAACAGATGAAAAAATATCTCTGAGCAGTGCCAGGCTCTCTTTGTAGGGCTTTAATTCTCAAACATAAAGCCACCGAGGCACATCACTGCCTGAGAGAACACAGCCTACATCCTCACGTCGGTGCTTTGAAATGTTGCAGGCGGGCCTTTCATCACAGAGAGTCTCTGTAATAAGCTCCTGTTGCTCTGCTTTGTGCACGCTGCACTGTGTGCTCTGCTGTGTAACTGTCCAATTCAAGCAAACAGATAAAAAGCAAATACTGTCATTCATATCGACGCACACTGTTAAGAATCTTATCAAATCTGAGCCAAACACAGTGGGCCAAAAAAACTAAAAACAAAAAACAACAACCCCTCAAAGAGTTGTTGGATGTGTGGCACATTGCTCATAATGTGTGAAGTCTTGTTTCTTTGCTGCAACTGTGAAATTTCACAGATACAGAACCATTTCACTGACATTGCTTTAAAATAGAAATTTTCCCTCCCTCCAAATAACTTAGCATATTCATTTATTCTGCTGCATAAAGCACACCTTTGGGGGGGGGGGGGTTACATCTTGGGTAATAATGACGCGCTCACTCCCACTGCCCAGTAGCTCCAGTAGGTGTTACATAACTCCCCTGAGAGGTGGGAGCTGAACTGTACAGGTGGCCGCACAAACTGTGTTCTTGTCGAGTTAATGTATTCAGATTATTCTGTAGACCTGACTGGATGTTACTGTCACCGTTTTACTTTATGACCTTCCACATAATTGTCTACATCTTTTTTTTCCTTTTGCTTCAATATGGCAACCTTTTACTCTCGCTCAACCTTTAATATCAAAGAAGCTATTACAGGTTGCTCCAGTCTGCCCACTCGCTTCCTTTCATCAAGATGTAGGGAGTCTATTTATGGTGTCCTTTAACCGAGCTGTCTCGTAGGTCTTCTGCTGACGATGGCACTGTGCGTCTCCTTTAGGTGACCTTGCTGGTGATCTGTGCTCTGGCTTTCCTGATGTGCGTAGTGTTCCTCGTGGTCTACAAGGTCTACCAGTATGAACAGCCTTGTCCTGACAGCTTTGTTTACACGGTAAGAAAAACATTTCACCGTTCATGCAGTAAAGCATTTTTGTTGCATTATTTTAAATGTCTAATTTAAATGAGGATTTAACTGATCATGAGTGCTGACACTACATTCACTGATACAATTTAAGCTGACATAAATAGAAAATGTATTTTTACCATGGATTTAAAAAAAAACCCAAAAACTCTTATCTGAACTTCCTTAGATCCCCAATAAATCTAAATTTTATTACCAGTGCCACCTGTTTGTCTGAAAACATGTAATTTTTGAGAGGTCAAACAGTACATTTTTCATATTACAGACAAAATGTTCAGTCAATACGCAATAAAACACATTAAATAGCTTTGCTGAAACAGCCATGATGGTCAGCAATTCGCAATAGCTTAACATGGCTACTTTTAATAAAAAATTTCGTTATTAATTTTGTTGACTGGTTTCCAGTTGTGTTCCTGTTCCAGGAGCAGTTTCGATTAGTCCTTACCTAAGGCTTTTATCGTCTCATACTGCTGGTCTGCAAAAATGACATATGCTCACAATAAAAGCTGTGGGTCTGAGGTTATCGATTATTATCTCACCACAAAGCCTTAATCCCTCTACCTACAGTGCTGGGAAAAAGTTTTGAGTCACCCTTTAATTCTTTAGATTTTGCCTCCAATACTTTTGCTTCCAGCACTTTTGCACCAACAAGGTGATTCCCATAGAGCTATTACCCAAACACCTGGCACATCATGACATGGTGTCCTTAAGAAATCGGGAAAAAAATCCAGCAAAAACCTGACACAGGACCAGAGAGATGAATCTGGCCCCTCAGGTGGCCTTTCTACTGTCCAGTAAAGCCTAATCAGAAATGGTCTCAGTAGAAGTGTTGCTGTCAAGAAGCCATTTTCAGGGAAGGTGAAAAGGTAGGGGTATGCCAGATTATACAAGAACTAGTCTGAAAGTCTAATTTGAAACTTGTGGTTGAAATTGCTCAATGTACAGAGGCCAGGAGAGAGGTACCACAGTGAGTTTCTATAGCCAACTGTAAAATAAGGTTGGAGGTTCATGGTTCATGGCTGTATTCCTCCAGTGATGTTGGCCATCTTACCAAAGTTCCATCACATTTTGATCAACAATGCAATACCATCTGGAAAAAAAGTGTCAGTGGCTTAACTTTCTAGGGTGACATTGATCCCAAACAAACTAATGCAGTAAAAGCATACCTGGGTATAGGAACAGAGGGAAACAATATCAGTCATGGATTCGCCTTCAAAGAGCCCAGAGCTCAACATTACTGAAGCACTGTGGGGTCATCTTGTCAGGGAACAAATGAAAAGTCTGGAGAACTATTCTCGAAGACTACTTAAATAGATGACAAGAAAGCTTGACTAAGAGACTGTTTTGAAGAATAAAGGCGGTCATACCAAATATTTTGACTTTCAAGCTAATTACAACTGTATACATTCCCCCCTTATATACATGCATGTTTGCACATGTTAGAATAAATCACTGCAGCAATTTTCCAAAGCAAAATTTAAGACACAAATTGTGCCTCCAGACTTTTGCACAGCACTGTATAACTGTTTAAATGATAAGATTTAGCTTGCGTTGTTTTCTGTGCTCTTTTGCTCCAATCTATATTCTGTTGTCGTCACCTATTGTGTATTGTGCACTGAATGAGTTAACTCCCAGTATGTTTAATTCTCTCTTTCTGGAGCAGCAAGGTCGCTGCATGCCAGCTGGGCTGTATGGCAACTACCCCCCTCAGGGCCCTGGGGGCCGCGGACGTCTCTTCACACTCATTAACCACTACAACATAGCCAAGCAGACCATCACTCGGTCAGTATCACCATGGGTGACCATCATGTCTGAGGAGAAGGTCACCCAGCAGGAGACGGAGACTGCCCAGAAACTGGCTTAACCAACCTGGGATCAGGTGGTGGCTTCGCCTGCTGCAGAAAAATAAATAATATGGTTGTGCCATTCAAGCAAACCTCCCAGTCCTGTGGCTTTAATGGTTAAAAATCCACTTCTCTTGGCTGAGGTGCTATGCTGCCTTGTTGATGCAGTTTGGTCAGCTGATGCTTACAGTAGGAGGAATTTCTGCAAGTGAGGCTAACAGCTGGGTGGATTTACAGGTTTGTTTGAATAGCATACACTGTTATTTATTTACACTTTGAGTGGCAAACGTGTAGAAAAAAAGCCACAGAAACAAACACCGACACACACATTCACTGTCTTTGTACATACACATGTAACAGAGCTCACTTTAGTACTCAGATTGTGAAACGACTGTGAACCATCTCGTGTCTGCGTCGCTTGTTTTATGCACGCACGACTCTTAATAACAATCAGTTTGCTTTGAATCTCTTTGTATTCCAATACATCAAGTACTGATATGAGCATGTTGGAAATCTCGAGGTTGGGCGAGTGGTAAATTTCTCATGAAGTGACAGGATATTTGCCACTGAGGCCATCTGTATGAAAATGTCTTAGTGTTATGGTATTGTGAACAAAGGCTTGACTTGGAGGAAATGTACCAGCAGAAAACATATTTTAAATTGTGCCGTACTGCTCTCTGCATATAGTGCTTTAAAAAAAACTGAGTGTTTGATCAAGTTTCTCTTTCTTTTTTTCCCCCTCAAACAGACATGAATGATTGTTTCCATTCATTTGGATTCTGTGAACACAATGTGCTTTGATTTTCTGGCTACACAACACTTATTTAAGGATTACTTTACAGAGCATAACTTTTAAGCTACTGTACTGAATGTTTTTTGCATTGCTAGTGAAGACACTGTATTGCGCAATGCTTCGCATTGATTAATGTCGCCATATATGGCTATAAGCAGCCACCACAGATACTAGAGTTAGGCTGATGTAGTGGAACAATCTGACAGTAGTTGCTTGTCCTGTTGTTTCCTTTCTGTATTTGTCATTTAACTTAACTTGCCACAAATTATGTACCTTTTTCAAACAATGTAATGATTGCCATTGAAGTGCATTTGCTACATAAAAAAAATGTCAAATGAAAAACTCAAATAAAGTGCCCACATTTCACACCGACGTCTATGCGCAATCCATTTATGCAAAAGAAGATTTTTATTCATTACTTTGAGAGCAAGTCATGTCAGAGCTGCTGAAAACTCCCTCGGCACAGAAAATAAACACAGTTAAAAGTTCCAGTTGCTCTTGAGCTGACATCAAAGGAAAAAAATGTTCAAAGCACTTTAATGCTGTCACTGGAATCTGGGTTAATCATTATAAAGTTTATTATTATAAACGGATTAACAGAAACATCAGAAGTCAACAGCTACTTTCTCCTTAGCTGACACAAACCAAGGCAGGCAGCGGCTTCAGCTGCCTTTGATGTTATCTGCAAACCCACATAGATACGAATTATAAAAATTGTTTTATATCATGAAATATCATCATGAATTAATGAGAGAAGGTACACGTTAAATTTGCTATAAATTAGTTGAGAATCATTTTTACTTGAGTGTATCTGATGTGCCAGTACAGTTTATTCGGCTCCAATCTGCAAGCATTTTGAGCATTTAGAGTAATTTATTTTACATAAAGAACAAATCTTTTTGAATACATGGGACTGTGACGTCAAGATGCAAATACGCTCTAGTGCATAAAACAGTTTCGGAAGAGATTCACAGGGATCAAAATCCAGTCAAACCATTGTTACTCATGGCTGAGAAAGGCAAGATGTTAAAAGTGCATTTTTATATTAAAGCTACCCTAGATAGAATCAGGGAAGAATTAAGTGCCATTTAAACTTGAGGACATAATCTCACGTTCAGTCTCGCTGTTGCCATCACTTCACTTCTCAGTTAGTTGTACAATCACTTCTGAGATTGGCATTGTGTATCAGCTTCAGGCAGTTTCTTGTTGTCCAGAGTCCATTTGGGCAGTCGTGTTAACTGTCATACCAGTCCAGGAAGAGAAGAGAAAAAGAGCACATAACGAGGAAAAAGAGGATCCATACCCTAAATCCAGCGTTGTTTTTGATAGCCTTAAAAAGAAGTAAACACAATGACATTTTACTGAGTGGAAATATAAGTCACATATATACTCACCGGTACACCTGTTCAACTGGTTGTCAATATAAATACCGAATTAGCCAATCACATTGCCGCAGCTTAATGCATTTAGACATGCAGAAGACCTGCTGAAGTTCAAGCTGAGCATCAGAATGGGGGAAAAAAGTGATTTAAGTGACTTTGAATGTGGCACGGTTGTTGATATCACTGTACAGTGAATGGCAGTTCTCTAGGCCAAAATGCCTTGTTCATGCCAGAGGTCCAAAGAGAATGGCCAGACTGCTGTGAGCCAAAAAGAAGGCAATAACAACACAAATGACCACTTGTTACAACCAAGGTATGCAAAAGAGCATCTCTGAACATATGTTCTCGAAGCAGATGTACTACAGCAGCATAACATCACACCACGTGCCACTCTTGTCAGATAAGAACAGGAAACCGATGCTACAACTCACCAACATTGGAGAACAGTAAATTGGTTAAATTTGGCCTGGTCTGAAAATTACTGATGTCTGCTCCAACATGAAAGCATGGATTCACCCTGCCTTGTATCAACACTTCAAGGCAGTTCAGTGCTGGTGGTGTAATATTGTGCAAGAATTTCTTGGCACACTTTGAGTCCCTTAGTGCCAACTGAGCATTATTTAAATGCCAAACCTGAATATGTTTACCAACAAGCTCATCCACAGTGCACAGAGTACCTATTTTCTGATGGCTGCTTCCAAATCATCTCAAACTGGTTTCTCAAATATGAAAACAGGATCTGGTGACCTCCACAGTCACCAACAGAGCACTTTTAGGATGTGAAACAGGAGCATCACATCATGGATGTGGAGCTGAGAAATGTGCCGCATGTGTGTGACGCTATCATGTGAACATGAAACAAAATCTTAGAGGTTTTTTTTAGCACCTTGTTGAATCTGTTGAAATTAAAGCAGTTCTGAAGGTAAAAGGGGGTCTAACACCCAGGTGTATCTAATAAAGTGACCGGAGAATGTACAGCCAATATATGTGATGCAGAGGTGTGTTTTTCCCCCAGTGCAGTAAAAGGTACCTCTCGTATATCCTCATTGCCTTCTTTGACGTTCTCTGTAGCACCAACGACGAGCTGATGAATGTTGTCTATTTCTGCTTCCTGTCATGGAGAATAAGATGGACAATAAGTCTGTGTACAACAATGCACTTAACAGAGTGCCTGTGTGAAACCGAAGGAACCCAGCTCACTTGTTGCAGGACTTTCTCAGCAAAGATTTCTTGAAGTCGTGAGATCTCTACCACCTTCCCTTCGATTTGCCTGGTGGGTACAAACACTGGCATGAAGCATCCAATGAAAATAATGTGGCTAGCATATATAAGCCCTTCCAGATGATGTTAGGGGGAACATTTAGTGTTTAGTGATTTTTATCACAAGTGTTTCAGATCCATGTCATTTAGTTTTATTAGCCACCAGAGGACTAATCTGCAAACACTCAAATCTTTGGGTAATTTTAATCCTGTCTTGATCAACATCTAACATTTCAGCCATGCTGTTTAAAACAGACTTATCAAAAACAGAAGGGAACATACACAGATGGAGACTCACCTCACTTCATCCACCAGGCTGTTCATCTCACTGATCAACCTCTGGTTTTCCTGCTCAAACTAGACATAAACACAGTACTGAATAAATATGTATAATGCAGATGTCAAATGCTAATTTAGTGTAAATATATTTCCACTTTTATTTGCCTTATCAGGAAATCCCTGTAAGCTGCTTTTGTGATGACAAATAACAATCCAAATTAGTCTGACATTTGCTGCTCTAAATCTTTAACCCTTCAAACCTCTGGCAAAAATCAACAACGAGTTGTCCCTGTGCACCGACACGCTGTCAAAGTACAACATTAACGTTTGAAACATGCAGATCTATTCATTCATTATTCTGTATAGATAAATATTTTCTAAGGTGTCACACCATCTGAATTTCCTCTGGGGAGAGCTCATCTTCCACTCGGCTCTCCTCCCACAGGTTTACAGGGTTGTCCTGGACCTCTGATGATGCAGTCTTCTCTAAAGGGCGAAAGACAAAAGACTTTTAAAGACAACTTTAGACGTGTTACAATAAGAAACCTCTCTGAAAATATAACCTTGAGCAGTTATTATGATGGAGTTTTTTAAATGGAATATCTTCAGTTAGTTTATTATTTAGTCCATACTCCTTTATTGCCTTTGGTAAGCTATTCCAGCATTCAGTAACTTATTTTTTAGAGTGAGTGTGTTGTGAGTCCAGATGAGCTTTGAAATTGGTTCAACTGCCTTCAGGAAGCAGTCTCTTAAAGCAGTTTTCACTTTCAAATACAAATCAAGTTGACAAGATTATAATAATAAATGTCCTTTTTGACTACTGTAATTATCCCACCCACTCCATGACATGCTGGTCAGTCACAGGAGCACGTTCAGTGAGAGACTGAGATTACCAAAAAGCACCACTGAACGACACAGGAAGTCTTTCCTGCCTGTGGCCATCTCCCTGTACAACGCATCCACTTAACACACTGTTTGCTGCTACAGCTACACATGTTTCTTTTCCAACTATTTATTTATGAGTGAAGTATGTATGTGTATATATGTATATATTGTACTATTCTTATTCTTATTCTTAGTTAGTGTATTGTCTGTCTTGTCTTAATGTTGGTTTAAAATGGAGCACTGTAACAAAAAATAATTTCCCCCAGGGATTAATAAAGTATTCTGATTCTGATTCTGATTCTGATTATAACTAGGGATAGGTACCGGTATCCAATGCCATTATGGCACCGGTTCTGACATAAACAGTAGTAATCAGACCGAAAAGCAGCGCACATTTCGGTGCTTTTTTTTTTTCTTTCCCTGAGATGTCATACACTTTGGATTCTAGCCAATCATTTTACCTTTGCAAGGATAGTAGGCGGGCCCAGGTATGTACGTTCTTTTCGAGCTACAGATTAAAAATGCCCAAGGCGAAGCCGTCAAAAGTCTGGCTGTACTTCACAGCAAAAGATGCAAACTCAGCAGCCTGCAACAAGTGCTTTAAGGTGATACTGTGCAAAGGAGGTAACACCTGGAATCTGACGGCCAACCTGGCGACGCATAGCGATTTTTTAAAAGCCGAGAAATGCACAGAGTTAGCAACATCCCCCAAAAACCCAAAGATTAGAGTCCTGGCCCCCAGCCCTGCCAGTGTAGCAGAAATGATGACGGATGATGATGGCAGCAGCAGCCGTTCTTCTCTGCGTGAGTAGCTTCATGTTGTCCGTGTGTAATTTACGTTGAGTAGGCTAACCACGTTATTACATTAATGCATGTAAGGTGAACTAGCAAACACCGTCGTAGTTACATGCAGTTGTCTTCTTGTTTGATGGCAGGTACTCCCTTCACCCTGGCCAAAAAGGCTAAAACGACCAAAGAAAAAGTGGAAAACAGCTAAACATGAGAGGTTTAAAGTTTGTGTTTTTTCCATTGTTTAAGCGCTGCTTCCAGCCAAGAGTGATACCATATATGCCCTATAGCTGCAGAAAAGGCTAACATTGTTATCTTTTTACAAAAAAACCAGCTGAACATGAGAGGTTTTTGGACAAAGTGTGTGTTCTCCATTCTTTAAGCACCGGTTTGAGCACCATTTAAGCACCGACACTGTTTCGAAAGTACTGGTTTGACACCGGTATCGGATAAAACCTAAACGATACCCATCCCTAATTATAACATTTAATACAGTTAACTGATCCAAATAGTGCTACATATTGCTTCCTGTCTGCCAATGTTGGCTATGGATGATGATATGAATAATACTCATACTTAACTTTCAATCTTAACTGAGATCACAAAGAATCATCATCATCATCATCATCATCATCATGTGCAATGACACTGTGATAAGACACCATGACATTATATATATTATATATGTTTTAAAAAAAGCTGAAATATATGAGATCACAAAAAAGTAGAAGAAGAAAGCATAATTTGGAGTCAGGTAAGTTCTAATAAAATGCAGTAGGGCTTGTCGTGACAGGCTTTGCATGTTGACTTACCAGAACTTCCCTCCTTAACGGTGTCCTCCTCTGTGGGCTCCACTTCCACTTTTTTCTCCACTGGACCGTGATGCTCTGGTACCAGTCTTGATCTGTGACCACAGAACACAATATTACATGAATCACAAGCAGTTTAAAAATGATGAGTGACAACAGGTCAGTGAGGAATGCAAATACTCACAGCCTCTTCTTGTCCACCATTCTCTTGACTCTAATTGCTCTCTGCTCAGAGTACAGCTTGCATACACCTTAAAACCAAAGATGCAAGGTATGATCAAATTGTGTCAGATGCATTATGAAAGAATTATGAAGTATTAAAACAGGTAACAGAGGACTCACTAGAAGTTCAGTAATTAGCTACAAACTCACCTTTTAGGTATGTTTCAATGAGGTCTAGCACCGCTCTCCTGTGCTCCTTTATCTGAGCTGACATCACCTGTTTTTCAGCTGAGATGACAACAATAATAATAATAATGGATTGGATTTATATAGCGCTTTTCAAGGCACCCAAAGCGCTTTACAATGCCACTATTCATTCAC